TAGCAACCTCTTGCTGTTTTGTAACAGCAACGAACTGTCCTGCATCAGTCTCCTCTGCCTGAAAAGAACTCATCCTCGAGTTAGTCAGGTTGAAGGGTGACTCATCAGGTGGATGATACTCGAACAGGTCAGCAACATTGAATGTAGAAGATATTGCCATTTCTGCAGGGAGGTCAACCTGATATGTATTGTCATTAATTTTCTGTAGAATCTGATAGGGGCCATACTTCTTATTGCTTAATTTGTTAAATGTTCCCACTGGCAACCACCCTTTACATAGGTACACCATTACAAGGTCTCCTTCCTTGAATAATTTAAGTCATCGTTTCCGGTCTGCATCTGCTTTGTATTTGGCATTGGATTCTTCCAGTTTCTTACACACCTCTTCCTGAATGGCTTTAACCCGATCAGCCATATGCTCCGTTGCAATACTCATTCCTGGAAGCTTTGATAGGGGAACCAAGTCTAATGCATGACTTGGGGGCTGACAGTATACTACCTGAAATGGTGTCTTCCTAGTTGATCTGTTCAGCATGTTGTTGTAGGCGAACTTGGCTTGAGCCAACGTAAGATCCCATTGTTTAGGTTTCTCACCAGATAGGCAATGAATTAAGTTGCCCAGAGTGCGGTTCACCAGCTCTGTTTGTCTATCAGTTTGAGGGTGACCGGTGCTATTGAAGTTAAATGTTGTGTCAAACCGCCGCCACAAGGTTCTCCAAAAATGGCTAAGAAATTTAGTGTCCCTATCTGAGGTGATAGATTTAGGGACCCCGTGTAGACGAACAACTTCCTTGAAGAATAGATTGGCCACATGCACGGCATCAGAAGTCTTTTTGCAGGTAATAAAATGGGTCATTTTGGAATACCTGTCCACCACCACAAAGACTGAGTCGGCACCCTGTCGTGTTCGTTGTAGTCCTAGGATGAAATCCATTGAAAGATCCTCCCAAGGAGCTGTTGGTACAGGTAAGGGTAGGTATAGGCCTGTGTTCTGTGTTTGGCCTTTGGCTGCTTGGCATGTTGGACACCGCTTGACATGGCTGTCAATGTCTCACTTTAGTTGGGGTCAGAAGTATTGTTCTTCTGTAAGAGCCACAGTTTTATCTCTTCCTAGGTGTCCTCCCAAGCCACTCCCGTGTAGTTTATGGATTATTTGCTCCCGTAATGAACTTCTAGGAATACATAATTGGTTGCCCCGAAACAAGTAGCCCTCGTGAATATGCATTCCTTCATGAGATAGCCCCTGCTGACACTTGCTCCAGATATTTCTGAAATCCTCATCTTTTGCATATAATTCTTTAAGGCATTCGAAGCCTATGACTTCAGCCCGTAGGGTGATGAGCAATGACACTTTCCTGCTTAATGCGTTAGCCACTTTATTCAGCTGTCCTGACTTGTGTTTCAAGGTGAAGGTGAATCGCTGGATGAAGGCAACCCAACGAGCATGCATTCGGTTCACGTTGCTTTGACTGTTAAGGAATTTTAGTGCTTGGTGATCACTGAATAAAATAAACTCTCTTTGCACTAAGTAATGTTCCTAAACTTTCAGAGCTCGAAATACAGCGTACAACTCAAGTTCATAGGTGGACCACTTCTGACGAGCCTCACTAAGTTTCTCACTATAGAATGCAATGGGTCTACCCTGTTGAGATAGAACAGCACCAATGCCAACGATAGAAGCATCGCAGTCTACCTCAAATAGTTTATCAAAATCTGGCAGTGCTAAAACTGGGGCAGAAGATAACTTCTCTTTAATTAGTGTAAAACTATGCTCTGCTTCGGTTCTTTAATGGAATTTTCCTTTTTTCATACATTCAGTGATTGGTGCGACAATTCGGCTAAAATCCCTGACGAATCGCCGGTAAAATATGGCTAACCCGTGAAAGCTACGCACGTCACCAACATTTTTTGGGGTAGGCCAATCTTGAATGGCTTGAATTTTTTCTTCATCGACTTTAATCCCATCAGCACTTACAATAAATCCCAAAAATAACAAACTGCTAGTCATGAATTTGCACTTCATTAAATTAACATATAATTTGTTTTGCTGCAAAACTGTAAGTACTTCTCGCAAGTGCTCAAGGTGATCAGATTCACACCGGCTATAAATCAATATGTCATCGAAGTATACTACAACAAAGTGGCCAGTAAATGGTTTGAGTACCTGATTCATTAAACGCATGAAAGTACTTGGAGCATTGGATAGTCCAAACGGCATTACCAACCACTCATATAAACCATCCTTCGTTTTGAAGGCTGTTTTCCATTCATCCTCGGGTCTGATTCGAATCTAATGGTACCCACTTCATAAGTCAATTTTGGAAAAGATTTTGGAACCGGCCAGCATGTCTAGCATATCCTCTAATCGAGGGATGGGAAATCGATACTTAATAATGATTTTGTTGATAGCTCGGCTGTCGATGCACATACGCCAACTGCCATATTTTTTCGGTACTAACAAGGCGGGCACTGCACAAGGGCTCATGCTTTCCTGAACTAACCCCTTCTTTATCAGTTCTTCCACCTGCTCTTGTAGGACAAGACCTTCTTTCGGACTCATTCGATAGTGTGGTCGATTTGGTAGGCTAGCCCCGTGCATTAAATCAATATGATGTTGAATGTCGCGCATGGGGGGCAACCCCTCTGGTAAATCTGCAGGTATGATGGCCTGGAATTCTGCTAGTAAAGGCTTCAATACCTTTGGAATGTTGGGAGGGTCGGTTTCAACTCCACCACCGACTACTATTGTAAAAACCTCACTGGCCCCGTTGGTTTCTGTTATAAATATCCCCCCATCAACCAGTAATATAGGTTTACCATGCGCCTTTGGTTTTGCTGCAGAGAATTCTTCCTTTAGTGGACCCAATACTACCTTCTACCCTCCTCTCATAAAGACATACACATTGTCCCTGCCTTTGTAGGTAATGTCCACATCATATTGCCATAGCCTGCCTAGGATCATGTGACAAGCGTCCATTTCGACAACATCACAAATAATCTCATCCATGTAATTTTTCCCAATTGAAAATTGAATGCGACAAGTTTCAATAACCTTTGTCTCTGCACCCCTCTTAATCCAGCCAATCTTATAGGGTGAGGGATGTTTCTCCGTTTTCAAGCCTAGCTTTGTCACCATGGTTCTGGAGATGATGTTCTCGTTGCTGCCATTGTCAATTATAATGTCACACATTTTTTTGTTCACAGTAAATCGAGTCCGACATATGTTGTGACGTTGCGACTGATCCATTTATTTTGGTGCTAGCAGAAGTCTTCTAACTACTAGAGAACGTGAGAGTAATTCTCCATCATCCCCTCCTGTAATTTCTTCTTCTTCATAGGTGTACTCAGTCTCGTCCTCTATCCTTTCTGCCTCTAGGTTTGTTCCCTCTCCTGGCTCAATCAGATTTACTACCCCCTGTTTTGGACACTGATTAGAACGATGCCCCGGTTGTCCACACCTATAGCATTTATCTGAAGCTGGTCTGGAATATGGATTCCTTGGTGCTTCTGGAGGTACTACTCTTGCGGTTGTCACCTGCATCCTGCTGCTACTTGGCCCTTTTGTAAAGTTAGACATGGAGGGTTTAGTGGGAACTTTCCTTTGTGTGCTGCAGCATGAATAGATTCAACCGGGACCCTTGCTACACTTGTTGGTCTTGTTCTGTCCAATTGTGTTTCTGCTTTTGTATTTAAGTTGTTTTCATGATTTTCGCCATCAAGGGCTTCTTGTTCGTTCAGTGTGTTTGACATCTGAACAACGATAAACATGCTCTGATACCAACTGACGTAGCGGAAGTTTATGAAAAGAAGGATCACCATCCCTTTTCTCTGATTGTGTTCGAGTCCACGAACAAAAAAGAACAACACTCGAATCTACGAGTAAAAGATTACTGTTTCTGAATGAAAGTTGTTATTCAATCAAATCAAAAAGTATCCTCCTAAGTGAATGGCAGCTTGTATTTATAAGCTTGTCATTCCTAATCCTACTCAAATAATGACTTACAGAATTAAATAGGAAAAATAAGGGGTGACAGGGAAATCCCCCATAAAATAGGACTTATGTCCTCAATTCACGTCCTAGGCAATAACAGAAATAACAAAAGAGACACTAAGAGCCCCAAGTAAGAATCTTTGTTGAATAAGGAAAGTGCAGCTGGCAATTCGTGTATGATAACAAATTCCAGCAAGCATGCAATTTAGTTCATAGCAACCTCTTGCTATTTTGTAACAGCAACGAACTGTCCTGCATCAACTTTATGCTCGAAAAATCTATGAGTAGCTCTAGTGAATCGAATTCAGATTTTTTAATAGATATTTGTCAATTACCATGGAAGGGAGTGGACCAATGTATATAGTTGTTGCACAAAATATTTCAGAACATAAACATTTCCCATGCATATATGGGCAAGTGATTTTCGGATTCATTAAATTGTTTGCAACTTCTTATTATATATTCAAATAAACATTTGTTTTTTTCATCATTGTTTAGATTTGTCAATTTCTTTGAAAATGCAAATATATTTTAATTGATGCTATCAAAAAAGTGATCAAGATGATTAAGAGATAAATCTCGCAAATAATATGGAAAAACCTTATGATATTTAGGGAATAACTAGTGATATTTTAATAGTTATTTTCTGGAGTCACTTTTAAAAAATAAAAAATACAAAAAGAAAAGAAACAAACACAGAAGAAAAAGAAGATGAAACCATGACCAACAAAAAGTGATAAGAATATATATATATATATATATATTAAATGAGTCTAGAGAATAACTAATAAAATATTAATAATTATTGGGGAATATATAAAAGAAATAAAAATAAAAATAAAAAGTTTATAAAAATAATGCGTTTCTTATACAGAATATATCATAGCTTGAATATGTTTTTCCAAAATCTTTATTCGATAGGTAAGATAAAGATTAAGCTATGATTATTGGTATTATAGTTGAATATAATTATGATTATACTAGCACTTGGATACCCATTATCATAATAAGACGAGGAAAACACTCGATTTCTCTCATGGAAATGGAATCATGAGCACACAACAGCGCAGTTATTTTCGGTTACAGATGAGGATTCCATGCTGCAATTGAGTGAGAAACAAAGCACTCTACTGGGTAAGTTTACCAGTTTGAATAGAATATTGGACAGCGGAAATACGGGAGTGTATCAGTTATCGCCTTCCTTTCTCATTGCCCTTGACTGGAGGAAATTTTCCTTCTTTGACTTGATGAATGACAGAAATACAAAGCTTAGAAATATGTACAGTTGCTTGCAATGCAAGAATTGAAGAGTAGTTGGAGCTTGGATTTCGATGCAGCAGGCTTGGTTGATATGGCTAAAATCTACTTCTTGCCCATATGGTAGAATATTTTTGTTAGCTCCCATTAAATAATGCTGCAGGCGGCCTGTAGGGAACACTAACATTGCAGATTAAAGCTATCATGTCCTAATTACCGAGACATCAATTCCCTTCACGCTGAGTGAAGTTCATGCCCAACACAAGTAATGTTGAACCTCATGGTGTGTAAATTTGCAGGACAAGACGCCTGGAAAATACATCTTTACAAAAGCAGAGCACGGTACCATCACAAATAAAAGTAAATATATACAAACTATTACAGGGCCTCCATGCATTTCTACCGATTTGATACTTTTGATCTCACACAACAATTTATTTATTTTTACTTCTACGTCCTACATCCATGCCTCCAAAGTTGATGAGTGAAAAACAGGGCAGTGCTCACTTCTTACCGTTTTCTGTCACACAACTAATCTCCCATCTATCTAGACAGCATGGTTAATGATATCCGGTTTCTCTGGTTGCAATTCCAATATACAGGGTTCCTCGCTGGAAAGCAATTCCTCCACTCCATAGGTACAATCATCGTCTAGAAATATATGCATGCAGCCTCCAATGTGAATGGACTACCCCTCAGGCCTCACCCACTGTTTCTTGGAGAAAAATTTCTTTGCATCTCATTCCTGGTAGATTGTGCGTAACTCTATATCCGAAGCGTCTTGGAACCCTCCTGTGTGTGTCATCATAACAATGTCTATCAGTTTTCGCATTCATTTATATCTTTCACCCCCTCAGGTTTACTGTGTTTCCTAGTTCTCTCTTTCTGGTGCACAACGTACCTTTTCCTTCCCCTAGTCCTCAAGAAGAGGACCATTAAATGGGGAATATGAGTTTGTGACATGATTTAGAAGGAAATTCAGGGAGCAATGGATTTAAGTAAAAACCGTGTTTGAGCATGTTTACATGGTCCTTCACAAGATAATGCAGCAAAACAATTTTCCTTTTCAATTCATTGCTCTATTTTCCCCAGAATTCATAAATTGGATTCTCCTGAGTTTCAACAGATTGGGTCTAGAAGCTTAAATCAGATGCGTTTTAAGCTCAAATGCTTCTGCAATTTTGATGTGCAACACAAAAAGATGCATTTCACCGATCAAATGCCATGTTGTGTTGACAATGACAGGTCCATCCATCATGTTCCTTGTGACCCATTCTGAGTGATGGCCAATTGACAGATAATTATCTTAATTTAAAGCAAGGCAGCAACAGGCCTCTTCACATCATCCAGTCCCACCAGACTTGACAAACACTAATGTCTTGTGTGGGAATGGTGAAAGCAACGACAAAAATATATATATATATATATATTATTCGACTATTTAGAGATTTTAATATTGTAAGATTATTCTAGATTTTTAGTATTTTAGGAATGGCAGTATTTATTATTTAGTAGTTAAACCAGCAACTTAGTTTATTCTAGTTTTCTTCATGAATTTAATTTTTTCTTTTAATTCAACTTTATATGGTTTGGTGTCTATAAATAAGCACCCTACCTAGACAATGAAAAAAAAGGTGGAACATTGAAATCATAACATAAAAAATTGACTTTTCTCGAAGATTGGATGCACATGAGCACATCAATGGTAGTTGACTATTCATATACCAATTTCATTTCCACCAAGTAATTGTAGGAAGAAACTAAGGATGTTTTTCTAACATTGAGCACCTACCAGCGTATAGACAGAAAAATCAAAAAAGGAAAGCCAGAGGCAAAGACCTGGCTATATACCTCCAAGTAATGTATAATGTTTCAAATTGTTTCCCATTCAGTAATTCAAAGTAATTTCTACTTCATAAGAGTGTAGCAGGACTCTGGAACAGGACACACCTTATCTAATGGGCTTTTCGATGCCTTCTGTGCTGTATAGAAACCTGGCATTGGCGTGGGTTTGAAATTAGAGCTCTGTCTTAGCTTTTTAATCTCTTCCTCTTTTTCCTCCTGTGACAAGCATATAGCATGGAAGTCGATGGGATGATACAATCATAGTGTTTTGGGGCATATATTTAGGGAACACTATCATCAAAGGAAACCTACGGCAGGAAAAAAAAAAAAAATCTTTTGGCATGCAGACATGCATACAGAGACATACTTTGACCGCATTCTTCTTTCAAATTATATTGATCTGTTTTCTGTTCATTGCCACATCATAGCAATTTGATACCAACAAAGAAGATGAGCATAATATATGGAAGTGTACCTTTGATTTTGTTCGAAGTTGTGTGCTCTTTGCCGGCTTAGCATTAGATTTTTCTTCCAATTTCATGGAAAACTGAAATTTATTTTAAAAATGACCTTAACTTAGTGGTTAACAGAAAACAGCATTGTATGCTCAAGATGTCAAAATCTTTCACTAGAAGAATTTTGTCCAATAAAGAAAGAAGGGTAGCAGTCCATTGGATATACCTCGTTCCTTCTCTTTGTCCATTCAGCACTTTTCAAGACAAAAGAAGATGGGGCCAGCTTAGCAGTTTTCCTATCCACCCGACTGGATTTGAGAGACCTATCACAAACATTGACGCAACAATGAACTTTCCATACAAGGTCAATCTTTTAAGTGTTTGCAAAAGAGCAACTTAGAGGAAGTAAACTGTAAAATACATCATTGTTTCAAATTTCTTCATGATGTCACTCTATAAATCATATATACGAATGCTAAACTACATAGTACTCTCACAGACCAATAGAAAAGTGTTAGTTAGCATAAGCCACAAAATTTGTGATGTTAGAAAGACAGGAAACAAATTATAAATGAAATGAGGAAGTTGAGAAGATTGAAATGAAAAACCCCACTCATAAAAGGCAAAATTGGTAAACTTCAGTATGGACGCTTTTGCTAAAGCTAGTCAACTTAGTTGTTAAGTCACTTGTTATGGTACCAAGCAACCTGGAATGAAATCCCATTCAAACTTGTGATAGGAGAGATTAAAGGAGGAAGGGGGATCACTCCCCTCGTGTAGCTGAGAAGTCAAAAGGACTTCCTATGTACCAAAAAAACAAACAAACAAACAAGGAGCCCCAACCAAAGAATAAGACTGATAAAGTTGCTGAAATTTATGATTATACAAGCTCAGCATTGGACTCATATGTATTTAAAGCAAGCTAATCACAAGCGAAGTGCATGATAGATAAAGTAAGAAGAGGACAATAAGAATGGAAGTTTGGATTGACAAACATGGTGGTTTATAGGATGACTAGTTTACCACATAACACAAGTATTTCTAGGAGTTTAATTTTGCTCCTATCATTGATTAGCTTTCACCTTCTCCATCATCTTCCTCGTTTGTTAGAGAAAATAACATAAATTTCAAAGCTATATCCGGCCACCCAACAGATAGAAATGAACATATTTGCACATGTATGTCAATATGCAAGCGTGCATTTGCACGACAAAAATATCACCCATGTTGCACAAATGCATTCATGCAATGATAAACACATTCATCAGGATACAAAGTAGACAATTTGAACATTACATCATATTCTCCGTTCGTGGTGTCATTGATGTGGAAACCTTAACATCTGTCCCTTTGGCAGGCACCTGCTCAAGAAAATTGAGATTTTGAGATACAACAAGCTAAACATATCCGCTGGGTAAAATTATTTTAAAGGTCATGCCATAAGCCTAACCAGGTGACAGACCTGCTTTTCTCTAATAGCTCTCTCTTCAGCAGAAGATTTCAACTGGCTAAAATTGTTTTGGAATGTCTTGAATGCTCTTTTGACACTGTCCTTATCCCCCATTTTCTCCCTAATAAATGATTTTCTAGTAGTTATAAGATGATCTGGCTCAGAATTTGAGGGATCCATGGTCAGAGACAAGTGCAAGGATTTAGAAGTCACTTTCTTGTTCCCTCCAGGAGGAGGATTTTTGCTCCTTGGTAACAATGAGCCATTCAATTTCTTCGTGGAAGACTGTGATGCAGACAGTGAACTAGAAGTTGGCACACGCTTTGAGGCCTTCGGAATGGAAATTTGTGGCTGTTTAGTTACAAGTGGTTCTGCTTTCTTCTTTGCCCCTGCTATATCTCTAACTTTGCTCGTTGGAATAATCTAAAACAGTATAGCAGAACACATGAGCTACTGATATTAATAAGAACCAAAGTTGCAAGAGGTACACAAAAAGCTCTCCGCAATTAGTTTTTTTTTTTTTTTCTTTCTGCGGCAACGGCCAAGCCAAAAAGCCCCCCCCCATTTTTTTTTTTTTTTTTTTTTTTTTCTGCGGCAATTGTCAAGTTCAGTAGCATAATAATTCACCTTTGAAGATCCCCTTTGATGATCGAACTTCACTTTTTCCACTTTGATCATTAGGATGCTTTCCATCTCTTTTTCTGAGTTCTTTGGCAATTCCCTCATATCTTGATATCCCTTTTCCTCTTTTATTAAAGCCAATTCTTCCAGCTTGGTTGACTCGGGGCTATCTAATTTGTTGTCCAGTTCTTCTTTCACTCTCCCGTTCGATGAGGCTTGACTATTTGCAGCGTCTTCATAGAGCCCACTCAATGAGGCTTGACCATGTACATCATTTGCAGCGTCTTCATAGAGCCCACTCAATGACGCTTGACCATGTACATCAATTGCAGCGTCTTCATAAGGCTCATCAACATGGCCACCATCCCGCTCATTATCCAATTTACTTTCGTGCCTAATCCCTTCAGCAGAAGTTTGGCCATCGGACACATCAAAGCTGGAACCCGTCTGGCCATTCTTGCCCGTTAGATCTCCAATGTTATGGTTGTTTTCCATCGATGATTCATGTTCCATTTGCTTCTCCTGAGCAATTAGCTCAGCCTTTCTAGCAGCAATCTTTTTGTAATGGGCCTCAAAGTAGGCCTTTTTCTCAGCTACAGTTCCAGGAGTGGCACACTTCTCTACTTCCTCCAAGTACTTATTCTGTGAGAAGGACGACCATTTCTCCCAAGACAAAGAATCATTCTCAAATCTACCAAATGAAACTGATACTTGAAGAGCAGGATCTGAGGCAGCTGTGCCTCCTATCTGTTTATGCAATCACAAGAAACCAAAATTCAAGAAAGAAACAGAACGACTGCTAATAACTACACAAGAACAGAAAACATGGAATGGAAATCAATCAAGAACCAACAACAAAAATAAGTAAATTCAAGAAGACAATAACGATAACTAGATCCTAAACAAATGGGCAACATTTTTACAGATCAAGGGACAAGTGAGTGTACCTTATCTTCGTAACTTGTGGCAGCAAACATTGATTCACCCATAACTACACAACACCACTCCAGAGCTGAATGAATTACGACTAAGACACAAACAGTTTACCCCATAGCCTGCAGTGGCAAATGCATGCCAACAATTCATTGAATCACAAAGAAAAAAAGACTAAGAAGAAGCTAATGCCAATGAATCGAGACAAAGAGAAGAAAAAAAACCAAACAATAAGAACGTATGAATGGGAGTATGCGATGTGTTTCAAAGTACTGTTTTTAGCAGACGGACTTTTAGCTGCGCATTATCAGCTCACCTTTTCCACCCTAATGGGATCTTCGACAGTTTCTGGTACTTGTGGAAGCTACTGATAACCCAGTAATCACACAGAAAGTTTTCTGTCTTTCCAGGGGTTGTTGTTTACGTTCAGTGGTTAGAGAAACAGAGACATGAAAGATCTTGAAAGGGTTGAGCTCAATTATGGTTAGATTCAACCGAAGAAAAGAAAGCAAAAAATCACAACGATGACAGCCATACTTTTCACCTAAATATTAATATTGCTTGTCGTTTACTTGTTCATGTTAATTTTTTAAATAGTTTTTTTTTAATATATATTAAAACAAATTTTATTTATTTATGTTTAATATTAATATATTATAATTATAATAAATATATTAATTTAATATTTTTTAAAATAAAAACATTTTAAAAAAGCATTAAAAAAACGAAGTATGTTAAACAGCCCCTTTATCAGTACAGCACTAGAGTTAAGCAAGTGATCGGCAGATCTCTCAGTTTATCTTTGTGGACCCTTGGATTGAATCTGTTGTACTTAGAAGATCTCCCACTTTAGGAACCTCATCGAGGAAATGTCCAAAAATATAACCGGGGGACCATGTTCTCTTACCGAGATTGATGTTGTCGGGCCACCTGTAATTGAAAATGATGTGTTTATAATTAAGGTTATTTTTTAAAATATTTTTATTTAAAAATAAATTATAATAATATTTTTTATTTAAAAAAAATTATTTATAATAGTAATATATTATAATAATTTAAAAACATTTTAAAAATAAATTAAAACAAAAAAATAAATTTCATAAAAATTATTTTTAAAATACAACACCAATTATATTTCCTTGGAATCGTTATGAGTGTTTGCTTCCGGAAAATACCGTGCTACCAAGTGGTTTTTTAAGCTTAGCAATTTACAGATAGAAATTTTGGTCATCATAAAATATTTTATATTAAAGAAAAAACAAAATCCCAGGAAAATCACTCTGAGAAGCCCAAATCATTTTACAGAGTTACATCAAGACAACATAATCTTTAACTGAAATCATCATTTCGTTATTATTACCATTTCTTCATTATTATTGTTACCTTTGCTAACAAATTCCAACATAGCCACATTTTTATTTTTATTATTATTAATGTATGTTTAAAAGTGTAGTTATATTTATTTTTTAAAATGTTTTTTATTTTAAAATATATTAAAATAATTTTTTTTATTTTTTAAATATTATTTTTAATATCAACACATTATAATAATATGAAATTATTAGAAACATGTTAATCTAAAATAAAATAAAAAATAAAAAAATTAAATTTTTTTAAATATATTTTTGAAATGCAATGTTAAACACACAACCATAAAATGTTATTAAAAAACATTTAAAATTTATTTATATCAAGTATTATAAAATAATTTTTAGTTTACATAATTAAATATTCAAAAGTAACTTTTTTAAAATATTATTTGTTGAATATTTTTCTGGAAAAAAAATATATTATGAGCCTCTTAAAATTATAATAGACGAATTTGTAGCTCACCCTCGTGTTTGGTAGTTTAAAATGGGAGAATGAAAGATGGATAATAATAATAATAATAATAATAATTGTTTGTAAGCGAATGGATTTTTATTATTAGTTGTAAGAAAATGCTGGATCCATTCAGCATATTTGATTGAAAAAAAATTAAAAAATAATAACGAAAATAATAGGTGGAAACGTGATGAGAGTGAAAAATGATATAAAAGTATTTAATAGTAGTCAATGAGTCCAATCACAAGTCTAGATAAAAATAAGTCCGACAAACTCTTCAAATGAAAGGGCAAAGCCCAGAGAGATAATTCTAAATTTTAAGCTAAATGGCTGAGGAAGTGTTTATCCAAGCGTTGAACCTCCAACAGTTGTTAGGCAGAAGTTTTTTGTTTCTTTGGCACTCTGTAACTACCAACGACGCAGGCATGGTCTCTCTCAAATCGATCTAATGTCACCATCTCTGCAGGCTTCAGCAGATCAGCCCTCAACCTCTCAACTTCACTGTCGTATACTTTGCCAGCAGGCATGGTGGAGTCGATGCAATTTGCCTTCAACAAGAAAAAAATAAAAATAAATCTATGAGCTGCTTCAGATGGCTAAGTAATGGAAGGAAGTGAAGAACAGAGGAACAATTAAATGCTAGATTAAACCTTTATTGACAGCACAAAATGACCTCCTGTTTTGAGGAAATAAGCTGCATTCAAAGCCAATATTCTTGCCTGCAAAAGAAAAAATATCAAAATAATAGAGCAATGCTGAAAGTGAAACCTGAGTGAACCAAAATGTCAAGAAGCACAAAAAAGTGTATCCTGTGTCTTCTTCAGCACCATATATTATAGCCTAACTGCATGAATGTGCCCGAACTGTATCAACGATAAGCATGTCTTAGCATTTAAACCCATGCTATCCTTCAAGTCACTGGCAAAATGAAATTGTGAAGACAACAACATATATGACAGATTCACATGAGCATGAAAAGAGCTGAATTTTGAAACTATGTTAAGTGAATAAAAACCTGGAGAGTGTAAAGTTAAAATCTTTTGAAAAAATATTTCAGTGGTCGCATCAGAAAAGGGCCAATTGTGCCTTTTGGTGAACCAACAAAACGAGAAATTGCATCAGAAGCTAGTATTGCATAATTTGCATGCTTAGCTGATCGTCATATGCATGATTTAAATTTAAGAGGATCCGGGAAGCAGGTTCTGTATTCTCTCTTTAAAAAACTTGGAGAAACTCTAGTGAATTTGACGAGAGAAGCAGTAGGTTCTGTACTCTCTCCATAACACAGAACCAAAAGAACCCAAGATCAGAAAGGTGCACCATTTAACAAAAAAGAAAGTGAAAAGGAAAAGGAACGAAGAAGAAGAAGAGTTCAAATTTTCGAAATAAGTGAACATTTTTGTTATGAAAGAAGATTTTGCTAAGCATTGCATCAGAAACTCGGTGTTGATTTTGCATCAAGTGGGCACCGAGTGCATCGTCATATGCATAATTTGAAAAGCAGGAGAATTTGTCAACAACAAAACTTGACAGGACAGTAAATAGCACTCATTCTTGATATGCTTCAAGAATATAAGGTTTCTAACCACAGTCCAAAGAGTTGAAAAGTCCCAACAACTTGAGACGAATTGAAGAGGGAAGGGAACCAAGTTTGAGAAACAACTTCATATTAGCTCAAAGAGACTACGTTTATAAACCCAACTCTTGACGTGTAATATAATGCTCAAATCTGCTATCCTTGTACCGGGATTTGTTCTTGCATGATCATGAACTATATAGGGTGTAAATGCACAAGAAGAACAAACCTGATCTGGCTGAGCAACATCTGAAAATATGACATCTACCATGCCAACTAACATTCGATACTTTGATGGATGTCTAGCATCCTCAATGATGGGCAAGACATTTGTTCTCTTTTTAGCCATGTTGACCAAGTCCCTCCCACTTCTCTGAGAAAATTCCACTGCATACACAACTCCCGTCTATCGCAGATGACGGGAAAGGATAGGATCATTCCAGCTAATAGAACATTAAAAGGAAACAGCCTATATACTAGCCAGGGAAGGGGGGAGGGAGCATGTATATTCAACCAACTTACAGGTCCAACAATGTCAGATACATGAGAGACGGAGGTTCCTGAAGCAGCTCCCAAGTAGAGAACTCGATCACCGGGTGCCTTGAAAATGATAGTATGATGAACACATAAGCAGTAGTAAGATAGAAACCAAATTTTCATCAATTTAATAAAAGCATTAATTACAGAGAGCCAGGAAACAATCACTTACAATCCATATATTGTCAATACCCTCCTGAATTGCAGCCCCCAGCTTGGATCGGAAAGGATTCCAAACCCTGTACTCTACTTTGGTCCCATCTTCATTCTGAAAGAAGCCCAAGAGAAAACACAAAAATACAAAGGCCATTCAAGAACACACAAATATTGTTAAATTGTGAAAAAAAAATCAATTTCTATTGGATGGCTGGGACTTTGGGAGGAAAAAAAGAAAAGAAAAGAAAACCTGAACAGAGATGCGCTTCTCATTGTATACAGTGTCACCAGGGACCATGCTTTTAGTAAGCAGAGCATCATCTTTAGACTTCGCAATAAACACTCCTTCATGTCTATGCGGAATTATCACTGCCTTATTTCCACCTCTCATCCCTCCACGATGATTGGCCCCGCCTCGGCCACCACCACGACCCCGACCACGGACACCTAAACCTCTTCCCGCGTTGTTTTGTGCTCTAAAAGCTCCACCACCACGACCACCTCTCACCGCATTATTTTGAGCTCTAAAAGCTCCACGACCATGACCAGCACCACGTCCTAATATTTCAATAACAAGCGCAAAAGGACAAAAAAAAGAAGAAATTGTCGAGTTATGTTTTGATTATTTTAAAACTGTGGCAATGAACTAATTTATGCGTTGGTTAAAGCTAGAAAAACATTAAAAAATACAGTAACAAACAGGTACATGATTTTAAAATCATGATTAAATAGAAAGGAGTTGGTTTTTTACCTCTTGCCATCTGAGGTCTCATTATTGACTGCTGAAGAACCGGGGACTGTAAGAGAGTAAAGTAATAGAGTAGTTTTGTGCAAAATCAGGAGGGTTAGAGGCTATTATATAGGGGTTGTGAAATTTAGGGTTACAGTTTTTAGGGTCTACTATAATAAATTCAAAATAAAAACTTTCCTAAATAAATGACTCTGCGTGAGAGAATACTAAATAAAATTTATTTCCTAAATAAATTACCGACGATGAATCCGGGACTGTGCGAGCGAAAAGTAAAAGGGTATAATTGTGGGCAATCAGGAGGGTTGGAGGCGGTTTAGGGAGTGGTCGTGAGAGTTAGGGGTACGGTTCATGGTAATTCCTAATAAAAGATTTTCCTAAATAACGAGGGAATATTAATGTCCTGTTTAATAGTGTGTGTTTATTATTATAATTATTTTTTAAAATATTTACAGTGTGTGTTTATTATTATAAATATTTTTTAAAATATTTTTTATTTTTTAAAAAAATTATTTTTAAGATTGAAACATCAAAACCATGCAAAACATATAAAAAATTTAATTTTTTTAAAAATATAAATATAACCACATTTCTAAACACTCTATTAATTATTAATTATATTAGTTACTAATTAGTTTACTTTCACGGTCACGAACAAAAATTTAAGATATGTTAATTAAAAAAATATATTTTTAATATATTTTAAGAAATATATATATATTGTTTTATCAGTTTTCTTTTTTAAGTTTTTTAATAAAAAAGTTAAAATCAGTTTTCTGTTTTAAGTTTTTTAATAAAAAAGTTAAAAATATATCCATTTGTTAAAAAAAAGAAGTTCTGCTAATAAAAAAATCAGAAAATACATTAAAATTACAACTATATTTTTATAAAAAAAAATCAAACCATGATTTATAATGGTCACTGTAATGTTTTATATTTATGATAATTTAATTGTAAAATATTAATTTAATTTAATTTTAATTTAAATATTATCATTAAAAAACTATATTATTAACTCAAAAAAAAATTTATATTATATTTATATAAAAATTGGATTTATGAAACTAGCTGGATATGAAAATATATATATATATAAAATAGTTTTCATTTCTTATATCACTAAACAAAATGCTTATATTAGAAAAAATAGACTATTCATGTCTTTTATTCATTTGAAAGGGAATGAGAAAATTGTAAATGAGAAATATGGATAATATTTAAAACACTTTTTCCAAAATTAATAAAAAATAAAAACCTTAGGCTTTAACTTTCAAGAAATTAAAAAAATACTCTATTTTTAAACTATGTCTTACAATTTAACCTGTTGAGTGCGACCAGGCGGTCTAGCGTGTACCCACGGCATGCCTCCTCCCGAGCGAGCCAGGGTCCCATTGCAATCCTCTGCTTTACCATCTAGCGTAAGCTCGATTCTAAGGGGGCATATATTAATATCAATGGGATGAAAAGTTGCGATGGGCAAGATTTTTAAGATGTTGCGCTAGCGTTGAAAATCCCTTTTTTTAAATTTCTATCTAATTAGGTTTTCGCTTAAATGCATGAAAGGCAACTATTTAAATTAATATATATATATATATATTATTAGACATTTTTTATTTTTTATTGATGTATTTTCTGTTCTTACAGGAATATTTTTTTTTCATTAGTAGCTTGTTATTTGATTAAAAAAATCATTAAAATATATATTTATAAAAATCAAACCATTTGAATTAAAAGAAAGGATATATCTCTTCAATGAAAAAAATTTGCTCATTTATTTCTTTTTTATTTTGAGAAAAATATTTTTTTTACTAGAATCATTGTTTTTTAATATCATAATTTGAGCAAGCTTTTGTAGAAAAAAGATGCAAAGATCATGACCCGGCATTTTGTAAGTGGTGAAAGGGAAAGATAAAATAAAAATGAAGATATTATGTAAGGAATTTATAATAAAATATATATTTTATTCTCACTTAATATTCATCATGAGTATATATATATTTTTTACAAATCTTGCAAATTAAGTCAATATGTGGTTCACAAAGTAATAGATAAGATCATTACAAAACTATAATATTCTTTGAAAAATTATGATAATATTTGATTATATTTAAAATATCATCTTAATTATTTTATTCATTCTGGAAGACTTTAGCATGTGAAGTATTCTTGTTTAGCCTTTGGTGGATTCAAAGTTCTAAACTGCTTGCTTCAGATATTACAAATTGTCATGATTAAAGATTATATAGCTAGGAGTTTGAATCCTTGACTATTTTTTTATTTGTTACATAAAAAATAATTTAGGTTTTAAGATTAATATACAAAAACAACCTTTTTGGCTTCAAGGTGTGTTTGGAGTGCTTCTCCTCTACTTTTGGGTTTTTTTTTTTAAAATAATTTTAACTTGAAAAAATAAAAAAAATTATTTTAATATATTTTCAGAAAAAAAATGTTTTAAAAGAAACACCTGCACAGCAACATCACTAATTTGCCAGGGCTAAACACCATGGGCCTAACTATGGCCCGGGTTCACCTCTAGCCCAACGGCCTCGTGGCACTCCACTCTTGGAGGATAAGTAATTATACATACCTTTCAATTGAAATAATAATAATAATAATAATAATAATAATAATAATATTTATTTACGTGTAACTTATTTCTTGCGTTGAAAGTGATTGCATGGGCACCGGATATCATTCTTTCGAGAGTAAATATATTATTTTTTAAAGTAATTTTTATTTAAAAATATATTAAAATAATATATTTTTATTTTTAATATTATGACATCAAAACAATAAAAAAATATTAATTTAAAATTAAAAAATACTGAAATATGTGGTTGTAAGGCAGTGCCGTCATACTTTACAGTACCACAGCTGTTGGATTCGTTAACAAAATAAATTTAATTAGACTCGCCGACTCTTCCCTCTGTATCTTTGTCGTTTAAAGTACATGTAATGAAAAAGAGCCGTTGTTATGTGTCTTTTTAGCTTGCGTATGGAAATAGTAGAGATAAAAAAAATATACGCCATGATGCATTGATGATGACAGAAACGCAAGAAAGGAACTGTCGGCGCGGGGAAAAGGTTGATACTTTGAAGCACAACTCATCTACGCAATTGCTTGTTTTATTATTTCAAAATATTAAAAAAAAAATCAAGTGTTTTATATGTTTTTATTTTAAATTAAATATTTTTTAATATTTATAGATTATTTTAATACACTGATATTCAAAAATAATTTTTAAAAAAATTAAAAAATATTATTTTAATATATTTATAAACAAAAATTATTATAAAAAATAATCACAATGGATAGGTACTCTCCTGTTTCTTTCCTCGGAAAAAAATGGTTTTGTGGGACACGTAATTTTTAAACTGAAAGTTCTAAAATTATATCAGACAAATTATAACGTCTTCGAAAACAATAACCTATTAGATTGTGTAAGAACAAGTCTGGGATTCAAAGGTCAAGCTGGTTGTTTATAATTGAACAGGTCAAAAGCCTCCTCTCAACTTCTGGAAAGATCCAAGGCATGAAAACTTCTACTTTTATACTTGCTAGTAGTCGCTATGGTGGACAGGGAATCAAATGAGTTCCTCTCCCACCGCGCCAGGAACAGTATCGAGCGCGTTTGGGAATGAGAGAAGTGTGCCCGTGAGCTGGACAAATTAAATTCATTGCTTCTTCCGGCTTTTGAATCCACAGGTAATTAATTTATTAATTTTATCTCATTAAATTCAATCTAAATCTCGATTTTTTTATTAAAAAATAAATAATATTATTTTAGATCAATAATAATAAACTTAAGTTAACTAGAGTAAATATTAGCTTGAACCAGATCTTACAACTGTGATAGAGTTACATGATCATTTGCCTAAAGTCGAATCAAATTTTTTAGAGCTAGGTTCGTGCGAAATTAGTTAAATTTTTAAAAGTATTTTTTATTTTAAAATATATTAAAATAATAATTTTTATATTTAAAAAAATCATTTTAATACACACACACACACACATATATATATAAACAGTTTCATCCACGTTAAACTAGCAATTTCTAACAAAATGAAGCACCGAAAACGCGGAAATACAATATGGAAACTTGATGAAAAAAATGAACTGTATGTTATTGCTCTCTCAATAGCTAAACTACATACAAAAAATGAAATCCAGCAAAAATGTTCTAAGCACTGGAACCTGAGAAACATTGAATTGAAATCCTACATGGAAAGAACATTACAGATTAACATAAAAGAATTGAACCCCCAAACCATCCCAATCCCAATCCTAATTCCAACCTTTTGATCTGTACACAAAAAAGTATATCAAAGAATAGAATTTCTTCAAAATTTGTATTAGTGAGTAAACCCCCCCAGAAAAATAAAAAAAAATGAAAAAGAAGGAACCCGCCCCTGTTTTCTTGACTCGTCACAAGTAACTGGAGCCTGTAAAAAATCCTGAAGACTGGTGATGATCATTGCGAGAATAGGAATAACCTTTATTATTTCTGACGAGCAAATCATAAGGCTCCCACAGATGATCAACCTTGCATGGTCTTTTAGCATCAAGTCTCACCCAGGGCTTCCCTTTCCCGCTCCAATGCAACAAACTGACTGGACCGGGATGCAATGACCTGCAAGTCCCTCTCACGTTATCCCCGCCAAGCCCATGTTGGTTCCACCGATGATCCATTGCCTCTACATCCCCTGCAAACACTAGCAAAAACGGCGGCAGCGAACCCAACTCGTATATCCTTGTCTTCCTTTGCACCTCCATCCACTTCTCAATCCTCCCCCTGTAATTCCCTTCTCTCCACCTCACCAAGTCCATCACCATCACCCCAGTATTGAAGTAACACGGCTTCCTCCTCGCCGAGGTGAACGTCGCTGACATCACCGGGTCGGACCAGAACACGTCCGTGAAATACTTGGTGAGATTTGTGTGGCAATACTCGGGTGCCCCTATCACCCGAGCCCCACTAAGCGTTGTGGTCCACAACTTGTGTATGTCGTCGACAACTACGACATCAGAGTCCAGGTAAATGACCCGATCCACGCAGAGATCCAGCAAGTCACCCAGATAGTTTCTTGCGTAGTTTAATGGGTTTTCTAGTGCTTGCCGGATGGAAGAAGAGATTAGATTGATTACTGTGTCTTCTCTGAATATATAGACCTTGAAATTCAGTGATGGAAAAGTGGATCGCACCAGTTGGGAAAGGACCCGCGGGCTTGCTGGGTCGAACTCTGCCGCAATGAAGTGAAAGAAGATGCTTTCTGGGCAGGAAGCGTGTTTGAGGACCGAGTGGACCGCAGCGATTGAGCCACGTAGATACTCAGAATCGAGAGTCAT